TTTTTTTGCTTAGGCTGGATTTTAATTTGCAACCCTCTTATATAGCCAAGGCTGGCTCAAATTTGCAGCCCTCTTGTCTCAGTCTCCCAAGTAGCCACCAGACCCTCCTAAGGTTAATATTCTTTCAACTTTCAGTGTGTATGTGAAGAGAGCACAAGGTTAATATTCTTAATCACAGAACTCAATAATTTTTTAAAATCCAAAAGAGAAAGGAGGAAAGGCAGTCCTGGGCCAGTAGCACCTGTAAACAATACTATTGCATAAAACAATATCTTACATTTCACCTGCAAAATCGACAGATTGCTTCAAATGAAACTACCGTAGTTGGTGAAGAGACAAGAAAAGATTACCCTAACACCTTACTAAAGAAGCTTAGAATTTGGTGCAAGTATTTTGGAATATTGTTTCACAATACAGATAAAATTTTTTTAAACCCTAAAAATTATAAAACCCTTTGACATAAAAACTGTTTTTTAGAAATTTCTTAACATAATGAGGAAGGCTATATAAAGATTTGTAAAAGACATCATATATTATATATTTTATAAAATAGCAAATATTTGAAAATACTTTAAATGGACAAGCATAAGTCCAAATAATTTTGTTACTTCTACACATTAGAAATCATACTCTAGAAAATTAACCTAAGGAATGTTCTTTATAATCCTAAATAAAATCCTCAATCCAATCAGAAAGTGCAAAACAAGATTTTCTGTATGCTTCTTTAAAATATATGTAAGTGTGGTTTTCATGAACATGAAAAAGCAGACTTAAAACTGTTAATAGTTGTTTCTGTGATTGGTGAACTTAAGAGTGTTTATTTTTTCCTTCAAGTTTTTTTGTATTTTTACTCCAAGCTTTTTTTGTACTTTAAACATCACATTACTGATGCAATGAGAAAAATATTAAAGAATTGTAAAGATATTTTTCTTCAACCTAAAACCCATACCTCAGTTGGGAGCATAGCTCACTGATGAAAATTTTGACTTGCATGTGTGAGCCCATGCATTCAGTCTCCAGGACCACACATACATAAGCACGCACGTGCATGTACACACACACACACACACACACACACACACACACATGCGTGCGCGTGCATGCACGCATACAAATGTACATACAAATACGTTACAAATATTTTAGTTATTTGGAGAGGTATATGAACACTAAGGCTTACATTTATATACCTTTATAATATTTATTTCTATTAATTTTAATTAGATGATTAATTTCTGAAGCAATAGTTGGGATCATTTATTCAAAATACAGGTTGAATGGTAAATCCGTGCTACATTATAGACTCTTAACTTAAAGTGGTAGAGTTGAGGAATAGTGTTCAAACTGACGAGGCTGCACTGTTGACCTCAACCCCCTTTGCCTGTCTACTTTCTTCCCCAGGGCACTTCCAGGCAACCTTAGCCTGATCATGTTTTATAACAAAGTAGCACATTCTGAATAGGGTTATTTATGTATTTCTAAGGTGTCCTCCTTAGAAGTAGAACCCTAATTATTGCTCACTGAACTACTTTATCTTACCGAAAGAGACACTAGCTAAAGAATGTGGATACTAAAATAACATCTGGTTCATTTGGATTTTAAGCCAAACCATATTTTCAAAAACTAAATAATTTAAGAATGTATACAAAAAAGTGATGAAATGTGACTTTAATTTTATAAAGACCTACATTGCTAATATTATGTAAATTTCTAAAATAAAGATAATTGCATATACTTGCAAAGGTATTTTTTTGCAAATCAATGATGCCTGAAGACCAGCTTCTACTTATTTCCCTTTCCTTACATGGGAAAATAGTTAATAAAAACAAAAATAGCAAATATTCACACTTCAACAGAAAAAAAGGTTCAGAGAGCCTTTTTATATATTTTTCATATCACGACCAAATGAGCTTTACTTCATTTTTCCTTTTTAAAAAAAACAGTATTTTTGCCAGGCGTGGTGGTGCATGCCTTTAATCCCAGCACTTGGGAGGCAGGGCAGGCAGAGCTCTGTGAGTTCGAGGCCAGCCTGGCCTGCATAGTGAGTTCCAGGCCAGCTGAGGCTACAGGGAGTCTCAAAAAGACCGAAAAAAAAAAAAAAAAACACTTTTATTAATTCTTTGAAAATATCATACATATATGTAATGTATTCTGATCTTATCCATTCTCTACTGCTACTCCCCCAAGTCCCCTGGACCCACCAAGCCTTCTGACTGGATGACCTCTTTTTTACTGTGATTATTATTAATAGTCTCCTGAGTCCAGTTAGTATTGAGCATGTGCACGTTGAGTGTTGGGCCAGCCACCGAGACATGGGCAACTTACTAGTAGCCACATCCCCTCAAAAAAGTGATTCTTCCTCCCTCAGCAGCCATTAACTGCCAATAGCTCCTCAGCTAGGGTGGGCCTCGGGGGCCCCCCCTCCATCCATGGTGGCAGTTTCACTGGCTTGATCTTGTATAGCAACCACAGCTATTGTGCGTTGATGTCTGCACCAGTCATGCCATAGCCAAGAGACAGCAGTTCACAGCATTCTCCCCAAACTCTGGCTCTTACATTTTTCCCAGCCACTCTTTCATGATGCTCCCTGAGCTTTGCATGGGAGGATCACAGGGGACCCCTGCAAAGCTGAACATTCACTGACATATCCTCAGCACTTTGACCTGCCATGAGTCTGACTTAACCATCACCCACTGGGAAAAGAAAAGCCTTGGGAGCAGCATTAGTCTACAGGGATAAATATTAAGAAGGCAGTTTGCTAGCATGACTGTTTCACAAAACAACACCATTAGCTCCACCCCAAGGGCCTATTATTTCCCTCGTCATGGGATTTTGACCAGGTGTACAGTACTAAACAAAAAATCCCTCCTGTGGAATTTAAGGCTTCAAATTCAATCAGAAAGTGGTTGGGTGCCCCCAGTAAACATCATGCCACTATTGTACCAATAGGCACAACTTGCCTGGGTATGTCAATATTGAGCTCCCTGGGACCCACATGGTAGAGAGAACCACTTCAGAACCAACATCAGAAAACCTTTTTGAAGCAAAAAGAAGGGACGAATCAAAGTTTAATAAATTGTTTAAATACTTCTGACAGATATCACCACTTAAACAAATGTTTGGTTTCCTTTCTCTTCTACAGTGAGTGCTGTGGCCCAGCAAGTCTTGTGGAATTGTCTAATTGAAGATCCATCAACAGTTCTTAGACATTTTCTGGAAAAACTCACCATCAGCAATAGACAAGTAAATTACCCTTCTTGTCAGCATTGCTATGTATGGACTGAAAACAAGCAGAGGGCTCTGCAGTGCTGTACATGTATGTCCATGTACACTGACATGTAGCCAATAAGTGCCTGTTAAGTAATGATGGGCGATATTAAATCTTAGTATTTCAGTTCAAATTTCTCAGTTAATTGATTTCTCCATATGTGTGTGGTACATTGCTTAGTGATGACCCTAAGGCAGCAAGATTATCAATATTTTAAACAAAGATTAAGTGCAGTTTGATATTTTGGGGGTTGGATATATTTTTTGAATTCTTGTTGCTTGGTAGCCTGGAGTGCTCCAATGTATTAACACCTTCCATTAACCAAAAAGTTAATTTACCAGATCACCTGTTAAGATGTCAAATAAAAGTAGCTTCTGGACAGTGAGGAAAATATACTAATGATTAAAATCCTTTTTCCATTTCTCAGTTACGATTACATTCACTGAAAGATTAAGTGGTCTCTGAAAAACAAGATTAATTACTGACATTTCAATTTATCTTCCCTGGGCTTTATCTCATTGACTTGAAACCTAGGAAACCAAATTAGGAAGGTCAATTGACCTAGTTTGCTTAATGGTTTCTGGGCTTAGGTCTTCCTGCATTCCCATTCCACCTGGCAACCTTGGCAAATGCAGCTAAGTACACAGCTGTCAAGGGATTTGCCTGTGACCCATAGACACAGTGCAACATTTTATTTTACAATAAAGTTACCTGCTACCCAATGATATTTATGTGTAAGCCCTTAGATGAAAGGTACTCCAGATAATTGAAATGCTAAGAATTACATCTATTACCAGTATCTATAGATTATATCTGCTATGTAAAAATGTTGAACATAACTGACATTAATAAATGGACAAAAGTAAGGGAAAATCTTTTCTATTTTCAAGTCATTAGTTTATGGCAGGATGACAGCTGATTGAGGCATTAAAACTTCTGTTCTTCCTCCAGGATGAGTTAATGTACATGCTGCGCAAACTTCTTTTAAATATTGGAGACTTTCCAGCTCAGACATCACACATCCTATTCAACTACTTGGTGAGTCTCAGCAGCTAATGGATTATAAATGCTGACTTTCTGGTAGGAAGCAGGACCATGGAGAAAGGCTCACAGGGGACTTTGGCATATGGTGGCTATTCAATAAAAGTCATTTTCTTGCTCTTTTTATCATGATGCAACTTCCCAATTTTAGTTCATATCATTCTTAATCTTCCCTCTTCTTTTCCTATTTTGTTGTTTCACACACACACACACACACACACACACACACACACACACACATACCCGCGCCCCTAAAAACAAATTGTGGATATATTTTTTCCATAGTAATTCTTTATGCTTTAACCTGTTCTAACAGCTTCTTCTGGAACCCTCTAGCATTTACCATTTTCTTTATATTCTTCCCCTTAAACGCCACATAAATATACAGTTTGGGAACTGGGACATAATGGCTATGCTTTGAAATTGCCCCTCAAGCCAGTCAAATAGACAAATGAATATCTTTGTTGGGAGAACTTCCTTCTTCCTTTCTATTGTGAGGACTCATACTACAAATCTGGGCCAGTAATTCCTTTCTCTTGTCTATGACTAATTTGGTCTTCTTCCTGAGTGCCCACTTGTTGAATAGCAAGGGAAAATATATATCCACATTTATGCTCAGACTGACACAAAAATGTATTATTTCTGGACAGGATTCAGTTTGTCTTAGATAAAACTGTTTAGTCCCTAGGACTCCTTCTCCCTTCCCACTCCTTTGGTTTCTGTAACTATAAGGAATTGAAGGGGTTGGGGACACCTTTGCTGCTGTGCTGGTCTTCTACATTCAGAACCACTGAAGCCCATTAACTTAGTAACACTGATTTTGACAATGTAACTGGAAAATTTTTTTAGACTACCAAATTGAGAAACAATGCCAAAAACCTACAGAGAAAAAAGCTTATATCATTTTTTCTGATATCATTGTGTACTATTAAGGCAGTCACAAGTTATTTCATCCAATATTTCAAGCACAGTCTTCATTTTAGTGTGTAGAATGTTGAATGTATTCTCTCCCCCAATTTAAAAATAAACATAACATTTTGAGTGTCAGTTTAAAATATATAAAAGGGCATATTTTCAAAATAATTTTAGAGGATACACAAACAAAAATTTTAAGTTTTTGACTTAACAAAGCAGAGCATTCTTAGATCTGAACTGTTAAATATATTACATTAGTCATTAAAGTGGCATTTGGGCAAACATCATATGCAGGTTAATTTTGGATGGCCTAACTTCCTAGCATCCATGTGATATGATGTCTGGAAAGGGGATCGTCTGCCTGTTCTTAATAGTTAGCCATTTTAATAACATAGAAACACATAAGCCTGTTGGTCAGCTTTTTTCTTGTGCCCTTGCCCATTGCAAGTGTTAGAGAAGCATTTGGACAGAGACTTTGAAGACAGAGAAAATGATTTAACTCAGAAAAGCAAAGCCAGGGATAGAAGAATGTGAGTGCAGGATGAATGTGTCAAGTGGCCTTTCTTATTTTGATTTAGGTAGGACTAATCATGTATTTTGTAAGGACCCCGTGTGAGTGGGGGATGGATGCCATCTCTGCCACTCTGACCTTCCTGTGGGAGGTGGTCGGGTATGTGGAGGGCCTCTTCTTCAAGGACCTCAAGCAGACAATGAAGAAGGAGCAATGCGAAGTCAAACTCCTGGTCACTGCTTCCATGCCAGGTAACCCATATCTATACGTATATTCCCTTTGAAAGACCATGAGACTGTTTTAGTCATAAAGAAATATTCAGAGTTCTAATGCTTCATATTGAGTGTGCCAAGAATTTTGTATAATACAGTCAGAAGAAATGCAATAGCCCCTTTAAAAGTCAGGAGTTACAAGCTGAAAAGGCAGTCATCAGAGTGGAGTCACTGAGTCAGTCCTTGAAGGGTGGCCAAGGTTAAAAATTTACTGAAGTCTATCACAGAGGGCCAGAGGAACTGACAGCCTTTGTGAGCAAATTTTTGGCACTGCTGTGAGATGATCTTGTTTGTACAGCAGGGACCCCAATCCTTTGTAACTCAGTGAGAGGCGGCTTTATGAAAAGTTGGAAGAGGAAAAAACAGGAAGAGAGAGAACTACAAAAGAACACAACATGCAATATAAACTCTCGACGCAGTTCCCTTTCACTCAGCACAGCCTATTTGTCCTTGAAATGAAATTTTACCAATGCTTTATCCTTGTACAGTGACTATGAAAATATAAGATGATACATGCATTGAAATAAAGAGAAAGACTCATCAATTATGTGTACATGAGAGCACAGGTTCTGGCAGCAAAGAAGCCTGCGTAGAAATCGGCACCACTGTTTATTAGTCTTATAACCAGGATTAGCCGAGGGAAAATAACACCATTTTTCATGCTTTCTTTCTGTGTGTGGCATATGAATACAATTCATACTTCACCATTGCAAAGAATAAATGCGTTTCTTTATATAAAATACTTCTTGTCACACCTGATTCATGATAAGCATTCAGTGATTGATAATAGTACATTTATATGCTGTGTAGAGTATTCAAAAAAGTGATTAGTTTTTATGATAGCAAGAAAGCCTCATATTATCACCTATATTCTTAAAAGCTTACATATCAAGTTTGAAGCCAGTATGGGCTAGATGAGACCCCAATTTAAAAATATTTATTATTTTTATTTTATGTGTATATGGCCTGAAAGTATTTAATTGCACCCATCAGTGCCTGTGGAGGTCAGAGAAGGGCATCAGATCCCTGAAACTGGAGTTTTGGACAGCTGTTAGCTGTCATGTAGGTGCTAGGAATCGAATCCAGATCATCTGCAAGAACAGCCAGTGCTTTTAACCACTAAGCCATCTCACCAGCCCAGGACTCTGTTTAAAAAAAATTAATAATAGTAGAAACCAGCTTATTGATAATATTTTAATATTTTATACTTTAAATGCAAACTTTGCATAGTACAATGTGTTTATAGTGATTGTTATTTTCTGTAGGCACCAAAACCTTGGTAGTTCACGGACAGAATGAGTGTGATATCCCAACCCAGTTACCAGTCCACGAAGACACTCAATTTGAAGCCCTGCTGAAGGTAGGAATGCTTTTCGGCATAAATGACTTTTTTATGGATACCTATGGCCACCTCAGTAAACATCTGTTTTAGAATGAGAATAAGTGGCACTTTTCTGTATTCAGATGAACATGTGCAACTCCTTACTCTCAAGAACCTTTTTGCATTATTATAAATTTACAGTTTCCCCACTTTTAACTGACATTTTACCTATGCGTTGAAGCAGAAAAAATTGGGCAAGTTTCTTCTCAAACAGCAGTGTTTCCCTGGGACGTTACTCCAACTCCCCCTGTGTTAAGGAGTTCGGGACCAACGGGAAAGACTACCCAGACTCAAAAAGTTCAAATTAGCTGAATTAAGCTTTTGCAATTTTATTAGAATTTTAAAGAAAAAGAAATCCTCGGGGCAGGTGAGCTGGTAATCTTAGCAGCTGCTTTGAGGAAGTGAATGGCGGGAAGAAAGAAAAAAAGCCATGAAGCCATGCAGATTTAGAGCCTGTGTGGAAAGTGAGACATGTGGCTGACTGGCAGCCACGTGGCTGAGAGAAGGACGCTTTAGAGAAAGTAAAGAAAAACAAGATGCTGGGGGCAGCCCAAAACCTTAAAGAAAGCATGTTTAGCAAGAATGGCATGAAGAAGCAAAAAGGGAAATTACACCTTCTGAAGGATTCAGAAAGCAGACAGACTTACAGAGACCTACATAACTGTGGCTCAGCTGAAGTTCTGCCCTAGTAGGTGGGATTCCAGGCAGGAAAATTTTGCTTTCTCATTAAGGCACTAAGTATTCTGCCCATCTATTTAGCATAACCCACCTTCCTGAAGTGGTCCTATGACCAGATGATTGACAAGATAAACTTTCACAAAATGGAGGGGGTATTACACCTGAAAGCTGTGAATTCCAGCTTGTGAATGTCAGGCATTGCTATTTCAGCTCTTGCTGTATCCCACTTTTGCTCACAGTGGGAATTCTAGCTGCACACTGATGTTATACCCAGTAAAATCTATATAGTATTGCATTGTCACCACCAGAAATTGTTTGTGATGAAGGAAGTGTATACCTTAGAATAAATCAGGTGGGCAAAGAAAGGATTTTCTAATAGCAATCCCCCTCAAAAGAAGTATAGTTGATGGCTATACATGCCCACCAGGCTTTTAAGGTAAATTAATAAGTGAGCAAGAATAGTAACCCCCATTCATCTGGAGTCCACACTTTTAGTAATCTTATTTTATGGAAGACAGTTCTAGTGCTCAGTATAAGTAGAAAAGACCACCTAAAAAATCTTACCTTTGCAAAACTTGTATATTTAAAGAGCCATGACTCCTCCTCCAGGCTTCTTAAAGATCTCCAGAGAATATCTAAGGTTCAAGGAAGCTGACAAGTTTAACACGATTCCATTTGTGTACTCATTGAATATGGGATAGCAAGATTCAGACAGTGTGTTCATAACACAGCCAGCATAATATAAGTTAAATGCTAGAAACTCTCCAGCCAGTTTATTTTCCTTCAGGAGTGGCATATTAGTTTGGTTATACAAGTTACCAACATGGAAAGCACTGAACTAAGTGCACAATAAGCACTTAATGCATTATAGTTTGGATTATCTTAATGCTGTTTTTAAAATGTGTTTTTCCTGATATTGAGACCAGTAGGGGCCACTGTAACTCTACAGTCTGTCACTCAGTCTGAATTAAAACTTTGCAAATCTAGACACTATGGGAACAGATGGTTTACATTACGTTACCACTCTTTACTATGCCATTTTAAAAATAAATCTCCATATGTTCTCATGTATATACATGTAATATATAATATATATGATATTGATATATATAAAATACTTGTAAAAATTACCTGGCATCTTTTCAGGTTACCATCTAGCAAATAATAAGGATTTATTAAGATTTGTTGCTGTTCTAGGAGTGTCTCGAGTTTTTCAACGTCCCAGAATCCCAGTCAACACATTATTTCCTCATGGATAAACGATGGAACCTTATCCACTACAATAAGGTGAGGCTGCCATAGTGATACTCATAATGAGTTGTGTCAGAGGCTCACCATACATTTCCTAAGTACAGCTTGAATTGGGGAGGCATCATTGATCAAGATTACAAGCATGACCACTTGAGTCTCTGTGACTTTGGACCTGTAGTACTGTCTTTTTACCCTTTAGAGTCCTTATCTGTAAGTGAAAGTGATGATAATAGTATCCGTTCTGGGGGGTGGAAAGATGGCTCAGCGGCTAAGAGCACTAGCTACTCTTGCAGAGGACCTAAGTTTGCTTCCCAGTACCCACATGGCAGGCAACTAACAGCCATCTGTAACTCCAGTTCCGGGGAATTCAACGCCCTCTTCCAACCTCTGTGGGCATTGCACGTCACAGGTATACTCATATACATTCAGGCAATACACTCATATACATAAAATAATAAAATAAAATAAAATAATAAAAATAAAA